AACAACTACTGCGCCGCCACTTGCAACACCTGTGGCAGTAGCCGCAGTAGCGGCGGCGGAAGCGGCAGTAGCAATAGCTGTGGCGACGTACAGCCGCCCGGCGATTACACCTGTGCCCAACAGGCGTCTTGGGGCCGCTGCAATGAGGGGTTTATGTTGCCGTACGGCTTTTGCGCCTTCACATGCAGCCGCTGTAGCGGTGGCAGTAGCAGCTGCTACGACGTGCAACCGCCAGGCGGCTACAGCTGTACGATACAGGCGGCGTTGGGCAGATGCAATGATGCGACACTCATGATGGTTCAGGGCTATTGCGCCACCTCGTGTAACCGCTGTGGAGCTAGCAGTAGCAAAGGCAGTAGCAATGGCACTGGTAGTAGCAATGGCAGCAACAATGGCAGCAGCAGTGGCAGTGCCAGTGGCAACGGGGGCAGTGCTACGACCGGCAACATGGGAAGCGTAGCAAGCACATCAAGCACCCTCGGCAATGGTGGCGGTGATGCGAGTGACAGCAATGGGGCCGGTAGTGGCAGCGGCAGTAGCACCACCACCACCACCACCAGCACTCGCAGCAGCGGTACTAGCAGCAGTGGTACCACCAGCGCCAGTAGCGCCAGTAGCAGCAGCAATATCGCCAGTAGCGGCGGCAGCAGTAGCGGCGGCAGCAGTAGCGGCGGCAGCAGTAGCGGCAGTAGCCTGCTCGACCTGTTCGGCTCCTTCCCCTCCTTCCCCTCCTTCACGGGGTTCAGGGGATTTTCCGCCGCATCCGACGAAGCCGAGGATGGCCCCGCAGATGGCGCTAGCAGTAGCAGCAGTAGCATTAACAACAGCAGTAGCAACAGCAGTAGCATTAACAACAGCAGTAGCAACAGCAGTAGCATTAACAACAGCAGTAGCAACAGCAGTAGCATTAACAACAGCAGTAGCAACAGCAACAGCAGTAGCATTAACAACAGCAGTAGCAACAGCAACAGCAGTAGCATTAACAACAGCAGTAGCAACAGCAGTAGCATTAACAACAGCAGTAGCAACAGCAGTAGCATTAACAACAGCAGTAGCATTAACAACAGCAGTAGCATTAACAACAGCAGTAGCATTAACAACAGCAGTAGCAACAGCAACAGCAGTAGAATTAACAGCAGCAGTAGCAACAGCGGCCAAGGCGCTACTCCAGTCGATGCCGGCATTGCAGCCGGGGGAGCTGTCAGCAACTACAGCGACGGTACGGCTGTGTTCAACGGCAGTAGCGACAGTAGTAGCAGCCGTGTCGCAGTTGTTAATGTCGGAGGCGTGAGCAGTAGCAAATCGAGGGGCGCCAACGCCAGTAGCAATCACACCACTAGCAGCGGCAGTAGCAATGGCAGTGGCCAAGCTGGTGCCAATAGCCCCGTGGGGTCAGATCCGCAGAACGCTACAGCCGCTCCAGGCGGCAGCTCCTTCCTGATCAACCCATTGGGTGCAGCCTCGCCCTTCGTCGTACCAACCGCCGTCACAACCGCTGCTACAACATTGGGGAACAAAAACCCCTCCGAAACTGCGATGTCCCCCGTCACACTGCCGTACGGCACCAACGCATCTTACGGGCCGTACCAAACGGCGCATATGGTCGCTAGCGCCGCCAGCCTGTCGGACCCGGCTTTCGCCGCCGACACTGCTGCTGCAGCTGCCGCTGCTGCTACTGCGGCGGCGGCGGGGGTGAAAACAACGAAGGCGACGGTAAACGCGTCGTCAGCGTCCCCACTGGGTACGGCAGGCCCCGCCTCGTCGCTCGTGAATCAGAGAGTGGGTGTCCCCGCCACCAAGTCCTCGTCACTCGACACCGCCGGCAGCGGCAGCAACAGCAGTTCCAGCGACAGCGGCAGCAGCGCTGCCGGCGGCGGCGCCCCGGAGCAGTCCCCCGCTGCCACTTCCCCCGCCACTCAACTGTCCTCCTCAGCAGACGGCACCACCGCCGCCGCCACCGCCACCGCCGCCGCGACCCCGAGCCCCACTTCAGCTCGCGCCTTCAACCCGTTTGAGAACACCACCTCCATCCCCTCCCCCGGCGCCCCGCTGCTGGCCGCCAAGCCGGGGTTCTTCTTCTCCTGGCTGCGGGGGGCGCGCGGAGCACCGGCGGAGACACGGGCAGCAGCTGCTACTGCTACTGCTACTGCTACTGCTACTGCTGCGGCCAATGCCATGGGTTTTGGAGGTGGTGTTGGCGGGGTTAGTGGCACCAGCTTCACCGCGGCTTCCTCCCCTTGGGACGAAAGAGAAGATTGGTATGGCGGTGGCGGTGGCAGTAGCAGCTTTGTGCCGGGGTTCCAGTCCTTGTACGGGCTGCCTGCAGCCACGTTTGGTTTCATTACCGCCAAGCCCGGGCCGCCTGCTGCTCACACTGCTACTGCCGGAGGGACTACCGCCTTCACCGCAGCGTCGGAGGATGCATCACCAACGGCCCCGCCACTGCAGAAAGAGTCCCAGCAAATACAACAACAACAACAACAACAACAACAACAACAACAACAACAACAACAACAACAACAACAACAACAACAACAACAACAACAACAACAACAACAACAACAACAACAGCCGCCGCCGCCACCGCCATCGCCCGGGAAGATGGAGGTGGAGTGCGGCGATCTGCCCCCGCCGGGATCCGTCCAGGGAGGGGGCTGCGAGGTGGTGGTCCGCGGGGGGCTGTGCCGCTCCCCCTGGCTGGTTGCGCGGGACTACTGCGCGCGGAGCTGCGGACGGTGCGGTGCCTGACACCATGGCCCGGCGGAGGAGGTGGAGGAGGGTGGGGCTGGTACGGCCATAGCGCCTGTCCTAATACGTGATTTGACGTGAAGTCGTCGTACATTTGGAGGGTAAAAGTGGGGTCACGCACCGGGGGGGGAGGTTTTTGTACGAACAAAGTACGAGCGAGAATTCGTGAGGTTGCATAATGTTGGCTGCTGACATGGTGTGGGCCAAAAGGGCAGCTACAGCTGCTGCTACAAGTACGGCAGTAGCTGCAGTCCGCAGCCGGCGCCGCACAGGGCAGTCGGTTGTCAATATGCGGCAGGTGGTTAGGTGGTTAGGTAGTTTCAGCCTGCTGACGGCCCCGATGTGGGTCGTGAAAGATCGGCAGGTGGTGATGGTGAGAGGTGATTATTTTGGACCCCTCGCGCGCTGCCTGGTTGCGTTAAGATGCGTCACCCAGGTGCACTGTGCGGTGGTAACGACGTGCGAGTCGTGAACGCAGGAGAATTCGTTTTGCGGTTGTTGGAGATTGCGGGGCTCAATGTTTGCCTACGGAAGTGTGCAATAGTGCACATACGACATACATACAGACAACGGGCTGTGTATAGGAGTAACCCTCTCAACGGGTTTGTATTTCTTTTGCCAGCGGTAGCAATTTCCGTACATAGCGTAGCGTTATTGAGAACTCGTCATTACACAGTCCTAACACTCTTCACAGGACACGCATGCACTCATGTACGACACACTCATGTAAATACACACAGTAGTAGGTCATAATCGAAAACGTGGAGGGGGACCCATCGGCTGTACGCTGATTGCGTACATAGGTACGTACATACAGACATACATACATCCACACGCGTGCAGAGAGAATCTGTGCTTCGGTGCGGGCGACTATTAGGGCTTGGAAGGCGGCAGGCAGCTGGTTTCAGATAAAGGGCAGGGGGGGTGAGATTCCGGAGAGCGTTACCGGAGGTTAACGGGGTTAGGGGGGTTTAGGGTGTGTGAGCTGTTGGGAGGCTCAACTTGCGTTTTGAGTGGATGCGCTGTCGTGCGTGGATTGGAACACGGTACGCAATGGACGGGGGATTTGTTTGGGGACGATTTTTTGCTGTTTTTATTTTATTTGTTGGCTGGAAATGGGTTCCGGAGCGACCGATGGTCGGGGTGTACGGAAGTCGGCATTTTGCAACCAACAAAATTCCTGGCTGGGTTCTGTGCTCAGTCGATCAGCTGTACATGTAACGCAGTACGTACATGAAGAGGGGTATCCGTTTTCAAGTTGGAGCCGAATGTCCATGTAAGGATTCGATGATATGAGCCAGTTGGGGCGGTTTGTGTGGACACCACATGCCGATACTGAGAACAATGGCCGGTACGGATGCAGGTATGAGTCGCGCCGTACAGTCAAAACAACAGTGCACTCGGAAAAGGTGAGGTACGACAAACTCTGGTCCCAGGAGGCTTGTGCATCGTACAATGCTGTACATGTAAGAATACGAGGTTACTCTGATTATTACTGAGGTAAAGATTGTCTGTGTTGTGTATGTGCGTGTGAGGAGGGGTGTGGGAGAACTCGCGAGTCCATAACACTCTCCGGCCCAAGCGCATCTCCATCTCGCCTGACTGGAACGTTTGCCATCATCATCATCATCATCAGCAGCAGCAGCAGCATATATCACCACTTGCGACCACACGCAACAGCGGCAGCCCCGTATAAAAACTTTGTTACACCTCTCTGGGAAACGCAACCGACGCGTTAAACACACACAAAAAAACGCAACGCAGCATCTTACACACATGCATTCGTGCATACGTACGTACTTGAGGGTGAAGGGTGAAGGCGAAACAAATGCAAAGGAGACAGAACGGGTGTGTGTGTGCGGTGAACGGCATAGCGGTATATGCAAGTGCGCTCGATGCTTCAGGTGCAATGAGATCATTATTCCACCGACAAGCTACCACCTTGACGCCACCACCGCCATATGCGCCATTGTCCACCTTGACGCCACCACCGCCATGTTCGCCGAATACTGAAGAAAACTTAGAATAAAAATGTGTGTGTGGATGGGCTCATGGCGTACGTGCATCCGTCGTTGCATCCGTACAGCTAGTGGCCAACGCAACACCTCTGTGGCTGGTCAACATAACAGATCGCCGTCATTTTATATTTTCGTCACAACCACGTCAGGTACACAATACTCTCTCCTCCTGCTACTGCTACCACTGCTACTCTTCTGCAACAGCACGTCCTGACATGCAATGGCTACGTCACTTCACTTTTCACGACGAACGACCTCCCGGGGGGGCTGGAGGGGTTGGGGGGGAGGGGGGGGGGAGACGCGCTCGTGACGGGCCCCCTTGCCGCTCTTGATAGGGTTTTTACTCTTAAGGTCAAATACTAAAATCTCAAATGCGGATGCGCACGTTTATCTACCACACCGTGCCATTACCACCGCCACCAACAACCTTCACCACCACCACCGCCGCCGCCACCACATCACCACTCCTACCCGGCGTATGTAACGGAAAAAAGGTACCCCGGTACCCCCCCAGGTCAATATTTACGGCGTGTACACATCTCACGTGAATAAACATCACATGCACTCAACCTACAACCCGCGCACATACAGACATACATACGTAGGTGTCTGTCAGTCATACACTCTCACACATTTCTTGTTGAGTATTACAATTGGAAAGGTGCTGTCTTTTTGACTTTGGTAATCTTTCCATCTAATAACAAACATACCTACATACACACTAACTGTATACGTCAGCCCGTACGTGGGGCCGCAACGGAACGCAATCAATGGTCTCATCGGGCACTCCAGGGGGCACACACCGAGGAGGAGGAACGACACACACACCACCAAGCCACACACATACATACATGCATACATACAAATATTCACAACTACACAATTTGTAGCCAAAGCCATCTCGTCCTCTCTCCGCCTACCACAGTAATTGCCCAGGCGCTTTCCTCTTCGTGCTGTTGCTGCTCTAGCTGCTTCTACTGCTTCCCAACGCCGCTACCGACCCCCCCTTCCAGCTCGCCGGGGCAGTCTATCCTCCTGCTGCTGCTGCTGCTTCCCGATCCCCCCTCTACCCCCCCTCCCCCTCTCCCTCCCCCGCACCGCAACATGNTCGCCACTTCCCGCTTTCCTCCACTGCCCCCCTCCNGCCCCCGACCCGGACTCCTCCCGCGGTTGCTCCCCCTCCCCCTCCTCCGTCTTCCTGTTTCCTTCCGCCCGTCCCTCTCCGCCTCCCCCTCTTGCCCCCGCTTTCCCCCCACCTCCTGCAGCTAGTCGTGTCTGTTGGTCGTGGGGGTTAATGCTCGCGGGGGTTCCGGACGGAGCGAAGCGGAGCAGCTCCCTCGCCCCCCACAGCGACGATGATGAGCTCTGGAGGACCCCCGATCCCCCACCGCCCCTCCCCTCGGGCCCCGCGGGAGGAAAGCCCCCCAGACCGCCCTCCCCCTCCCCCTGCTCAGACACCCCCGTCACCACTTCTACTGCCGAACCAGATGGCCCCCGACCTCCCGCCCCACCACCCTGGGAGGTAAGCGGCCCCGATGATGCCGTACTTCCCTTTCCTTCTTCCCCCTGTACGGCACGCGGTCGTTCGGAGAGGACTCCTGTAACAGAACGGGTGACTCCAACCAGCTGCTGCCGTTGCATGAAGCGCTGCAGTACGGCAGCCTTGTCGTGAACTCCCGCGGCATGCATGAGGAAGTCCCCGGGCTGCCACAAACCTGGAGGAGGGGGCGGGGAGTGAAGCGGGGGTATTGCCTGGTCTGCCTGCCGTACCTTCCTAAAGGCCCCGTGGGGTCCCCCCCATCCCCTCCCTTCACCACTCCCTTTCCTTTTCCCCTTATTTTCCCCTTTCCCCCCATACACACATACACACAACTCACCCACAAGCACCCTCCCGGGGTTCAAGATGTACCGTACAATGTTCCGTACACTGCCCCTCCACAGGTAGCTGTTGAAGGCGCACTGGGGAGCCAGACCCACGTGGGCTGACAGCTCCGACCTAGGGGGGGACGGGGGGACGGGGGGAAGGGGGGAGGGTAATACACAGGAAGAGAGGAGCTGTGCGAGCAATATCATCGACAACAGCGACATGAACAACATCATTATCGACCACTACAGCAACAGCAACGTCGTCACCAACAACATGCGGAGTCCACAAGGGCAGTCCCACGGGCGTTGCGGGATGAGGGGGAAAACACACACGCATGCACGCACGCACGCACGCAACACCCAGACGGGAGTGGCTCCAGGGGGGTGGACGGGTAACAGGTGGAGCAAGTATTGCCGTACGAATTGAAAAGGCACAGGAAGGGGAGGGGGAGGGGGAAGGCACCAGGAAATTACCAAGGGTACCAACCCTTCCCTTGCCGGCTCCGGAACCAGCCAGCCGTACCCCAAACTTACTTGTCCATGTTCGCAAGAAGATATTTGAGCGCGTCGTTATCTCCGCTCTTCGTGTCTCCGGGGTTCCTTCGAATGAACTCCTCCATACCCCACCAGCGCTCCAGGAATGTACGGCACCAGGAACAACCCGACCCGCGAATCAGCCACACACCCGCGTTCACGCCTGAGCCCAAATCCGGGCGGGAGGGGGCAGGGGGGGGGTAAAAAGGGGCCCCGGGATTGGGGGAGGTGTACAGCAAAGGCGAAGAGGACGAATTCACACGCACATACATACATCCATACACACATATCTTCCAGCCAAAACTCACCCGTGGAGTCCTCCGTCAGCAACAGGTCGGGGCCAAAGCCAGGATATACGGATGTCGACCCGGATGAACCCGCCGCCGCCGCCGCCGCCACCACGCCCTCCGTACCGCTGGGGGGTGGGGTGGCGATGGCGGGCAGCAAGGACTCCACCGGAGTGCTGAGGTTTGTAATCAACGTGTCGGCGTCCAGCCAAAACACCCAGTCGTACTGATCCAGTACGGAAAGCACGGCTGGGATTTTGCTCCAGGACGCTGGTCGAGAACCTGCATCGGCGACACAGGTTTGCGAGGCGGTTGTGACCATACATACATACATACATACATACATACATACATACATACATACATACATACATACATACATACACGCGCATACCTATGTGGGAGCCACGCAACTAAGCCACCTTCCACATACACACACACACTTGCACCGGCCCCCCCTAAACCCCCTAACCCCCCCCCGGGGACCACCATCACACGGGGGGGGGAGGCACCACTCACTGTCAAGGAGGTCGCTCGCGTCCACGTACGTGTAACCGTGAAGATCCGCAAACAGCTGCTTGTTGGGACTGTATGTATGTATGCATGTAAGTACGTGCGTATGCATGTACGTATGTACGTATGTTCGTGAGGGGTTTGGGGATAGGGGAGTTGTTAGTTGAGGTGACGACTGGTGCTGCCTAAGGGCTTGTGTGTGAGTGGTGTGTGTGTGGGAGATCGTCCGCAAAAACACAATATATCGATTGCCACCGACTAAAGCCGCACCGGGGGACCAGCAGGGATTGTGTTTGTCGTGCAATGATGGTGAGGGTATGTACGGCAGGAAGACAAGGGGACGAGGACACTGGTGAGGCGGGCCGGGGGATTAACGAACCAACCAACTAACTGCCTCTCTGCTGGGGTAGTACTTGACACTGCCATGGTTTAGGCATGCAAGGCAGACTGACTGACAGACAGACAGACTGACAGACAGACTGACAGACAGACAGACAGGGGTTTCAGCTGACTGGACTGTTGAGGTCAACCGCCCAACACATTGCCCCCGTCACCCTCCGAGGAGACTGAGGGAGAGAAACACACCACACCACATCACACCACACCACACCACCGCACAGCAGCTCCCCAGTCCCCCGGCCCCCTCGGGAAGGACCTCCCAAAAGAAGAGCCCCCATACCGTCCTCCCCTCACCCCCCCCTCCCACCCATCCTGCCACCCACCCGGTCACATCCAGCAAGCCAGCAAACTGCGCCAACCTGGCGTTGATCACCACTTCACCTCCCCCTCCCCCTCGCTGTCGTTGTTGTTGTGGTGGTGGTGGTGCAGAGGCCGAGGTAGAGGATGGTGGTGCTGTCCGGGATGAAGCTCGACCCGTAGCCATCGATACCTGAGGGCCGGTGGGGGGAGTGGAGGAGGGGACATCAACAAGTAGAAACTCATTGCCAAAGGCTACATGCGCTGCACATGGGATTCGCGGGGAGGGGGGGTAAGTGAAGGGACCAGGTGCGCAGATGACCAACGAGGAGGAGGAGGAGTTCATTAGCTGCTGACAGGGTGGTTAGGTGGGGAGGGGGGTAGGGAGGGAGGGAGGGAGGGGGGTAGGGAGGGAGGCACGGAGCCGGGGAGGGGAGCGTGTCCCTGGCGGTGCAGTGCCGTACAGTGCAGTCGCCACAGCCCAACACGACCCAGGTCCGCTAAGAAAATATACCACTCCGCTCCTATCCCCCTTCACCCCTCGTCACCCCACTTCCCCTTCCCCCTCCCACCACCAGCCCCATGGGTGGTTGGGACCTAACCACCCGGCAGCGCCAATCACGACTACACCGCTAAAACATCTAACCACTCGAACAGCACCACATTAAAAAGGTATACACACACGAATATACACACATACATACATACTCCCGCCCGCCCGCCGATCTACCAGTGCAATGCGCAGCCGCCTGCCTCTGTCAGTGCTGCCATTGCTACTGCCATCACCGCCACCGGCAATTTGATCACTGCCCGGGGGTGCGACGGATAGCGCTGATAGCCCTCCGGCGCCTCCCGCCCAGGTGATCCAAGGCACGGTACAGTCCTTGTACCTCCGAGTCACTGAGTTCAAATAGTTGAAGTTCACCAAGAAGGTGGCGAGCGCCAAAAGGATGATCTGGGGGTCAGGGGAGGAAAGGGGGTGAACGCGGACACAATGGGAAACGCTGGGAGGGGTGCCCGCTGCTGGTGCTGGCTGCTGGATCAGATCGCTTGCTGCAACCCTAGCCCGGGATTTTGTAAGCCATGTGTAAGGTGTTTCTACGATTAGACAGGCTGTCGATGGAGGCTGGGGTGGTGTGGTGGGGCCAGGGGTATGGGATCCGGAAATCTGGTCGAGGATAACGCTTAAAGTTTCAGGCAAACAGCAAGCCAAGATCCAAACGATAAAAAGTAACAGGTTAGCTTAAAGAGACGTACCAGTAGCTTCGGAATACTCTGTACGCGGAAGAGCCAAGGACTGCGCGGAGCAAGCGGGGATTGCACGCACTTAAGGACCTCGGAGAGAAAGTACGCGAACGATAAGTATCAATCTCGGCTGCTGTGGTCAACAGTTTTGACATTAGCCGAAAATTGTGTTGCGGCAGGAGAAGAAGTCAACGAAATGCCGTTGTAGCTATCCCCGCTTATCGCTTGATGCGAATCAATTTCCTCATCATGAAACAGACACACTTACACAGACAATCTGCTACCTCGGTTGCGGCTCCGTTGAAAAAACATGCACCTGTACTGCCACCTTCAGCGAGGTGGCTTCGACGGACTTTTATACCGCGCTTAAACATAAAATGGTAATTACACAAATTTGAGTCCTTATTCCACAGTTACGCAGCTGGACTCAGTCCACGTGGGCAAAAATTACGGCGACACCGTATCGCCCAGTTCTCCACCAGACCTTAGTTATCGCTGCAGCACCTGTTATGATGTCTTGCGCTCAGGTAAAGTAATATATCGGCTGTGACCCGCCTCGACGGCTCCACTGGGCCTCCTTGTGCGTCCCCTTGAGCCTCCATTTCACCCTCTGTACAGCACCGGAAGGTTTCTTGGAGGGATAGAGGCCAGACGGCTCCTATCATAATCGAGTATAATCAGAAGGCACTGACGTAACGATGGTTTAGGCCATTTGGCGTGCTTGGTGAATTCTTACGCGCTATTACGCCCATGACATCCAGTTACACTCATATGCTGGCCGATACCTGAGAAAGCAGGGAGAAGGGTGGTAGGGAAAACATCGCACCTCACTATTATGAGGGTATCTCAAAACGCCCATACATGGGCACGCAAGCATACCATCGGAAAGTTGGGCTGCGTCACCGTATACGACGCCGTCCGACATACGTGTATTTTAAACCTGGTCTGCAGCTATTGCTCAACAGTATCTTCTTATTATTAAAGCTTACATGTCTTAATAAAATTGACACTCTCGTAGGAGAAGCTTTTTTTTCCCACGGCATCGTAGCGCCGACCTTACATAATTCGGCGAGAAGCTTCAGTCTTTGACGCTTTCCTGAATTAATGGCCGTTTCGGTGTGTGTTTGCATTTAAGCTTCATTGACCTGCAAAGCTTGGACCTCAAGTAACAGCTAGCATTCTTTCTCTCGGTCCTGCTCGGTGCAAAACTGCGCAATATCGCCCAAAGAAAGCAGCCAGACGCTCAAATCTACATCGCTATCATTTATTTTTTCCCGGTATATTTCAGGAAAGCACACCCATTAACGCTGGTGATGATACGGTGATAGATGCCGTATCAGAGCGCGTGCCCAGCAGTCGTGGAATCCTGTAGGGAAAACGAGTTGCAGCACGTTGTCCACGCATGGCGCTGTGTTAACAACTCTTCTTAACCTCGTTCAGAACGGTCAGGTGCGCAATCAGCTGGGGAGAAAGAAGCGGTGCGGTTGCGCCGCGCACTCCGGACGCTTAGAACAGCCGTTGACGTCCGTGCAGTCCAGTAAGGACAACGTTTACCTCGATTTCCATTTACCTTGCTACGTCAAGGGCTAATATACTTTTTTTACCTTCGGTTAAATCGATCAACTTACCGCGAGAGCTGGCTTGCAAACCTTGAAGTGTGAACCGTTCGCGTCTACGAGTATGCGGAGGCAGGGCCCTATCCTGTGCACCAACGGCATCGCGCGAACATTTTTTATTTCATTATGTGATGTAGTTTCATTGTGGTGAAATCTGGCACGTCTCTTTGTTGCTAGAGTGCGTGGAAGAGCGGGCCCTGGCTGGCCCTGGCTGGTAACCCCCGAAGATTCCCCTAGGCGGAGGTAGGAGTGTACGACTACACCCTGCTTCGGACGTCGTCGGACTTGTATCAAGCAACTGCTGCTGCTGCTGCTGCTGCTGCTGCTGTATCCGCCGCTTTTGCCAAGTGCAGGCCTTTGCATATGGTCGACTATGCAAAAAGTGAATAACAAAAAGAACTGATATTTTGATGACAAGACAAAAATGTAATATTTTGTTGGACCTGAGAGGACCTCGTCTCTGGTTGGTAACTCTGTCGCTACCAGACGCTACCTCAAGCCGGTGCGGGCACACCGGTGTACCAGGTAGCTAAGACAAGAAAAGGTGGCCCCTCCCGGGTCCGAGTCCTTCAGATGCTTCACTCGGGACCTACTCCTGGAGGAGGGGGATCAGTCGCCAGTCTGGCAAAACTGGCGCCAAGCTGAATTAAAAAAAACACGGCAGAAGAACGGTGCCGGAAAAATATATGTCCGCTTGGTGCTGCCCGTGGTTGCCATTATCTTGGGTTTGATCCATGTTTCGGCTCACGGCAGCCGAACTGATCATCAGTTTGACCCACAAAAGCAGTGAACACTGTTAACGAGCACTACGCCTGCTTAGAACAGATGTACCTTTTTTGCGGTGAAGGCCTTAGGGCAATAATAGCTGAGGCGCTAGGGACACCGACGTACATGCTGATGTACACGTACAGCACACGGGAATGTGTGCATGTCAGGCCCAGGTCGCCTGTCAGGTCGCCTGTCAGGCTACTTGCCTGTCCTGGTACGTCCTGATCCTGTCACAGGTGCTCTATCACCTGTTCTGGTGCTCCCCGCCTCCCCGCACATCCGGGAGCGCCGGAGGAAAGGGAATGGAATGTTAGGGGGGTCAGGTTGGAGGATGAAGATATACAACAATTCCTGGAAAGGGAGAAGCGGCCAAGTGTCTACATACATACATACATACATACATACATACAGGGACAAGGCCTGCTGAATATGCTTGCTGTCAGCAAAAGTATGGATACACGCTCTGGCCATCCAACCCCCCAGTATTGAGGAGCCCCCGTCAACCCCTACTCCCCCTCCCGTCTGTCCAGCAACAAACAATAAGCAACATATTGCAACGTGACTTACATACAAACACACGCAATGTGTATAACAAAACAAAACCTCGCCGTGTCATTCGTGGGGCTTTGGTTCGTCCACCTAAAGCCCCAACCCCCCCCTCAGCTCATGTTCGTCACTCTCCCCCTACACAGCCTGCCCAGCTACCCTCCACGGAGTCAGGGAACCCACACAGACACCCCTGGCCCCCTGGCCCTCCCCTCATCCCCCAGACACACCAACACTACCCCGGTACGGACACCCCATCAACCCGAACCTCGTCTTAAGCCTAGTCCAGAAACTTAGCCATAAATGACATCATGCCAAATTACGTCATCTCAGCACATGTGTCATGTCCGACCACGCCGAATCACATCACGGCCAGAGGTGCGCCACGGGGGAAAGGAAAGGCACCACGACAACAGCCGGCAAAAAGGGCAGGGAGGGGTGCCAGAACACACACATGCCGTGCCGGGCGAACCCACATGCCATCGAGCTGCCGATCACCCTGGACCGCAACCTCCACTTGGCGCACTGGCCCACCCCCGGGGAAAGGTGGGTCAGCAGCAGCTACCTTCCAGGCTGCCGCGCTGGACATACATACATACACACATACACAGCCCGCGCACCCAGGTGTTCGGTTGGGCCCGGTCGGGCCGAGTCTGATCGAGTGGGATTATCCGTGGCGGAGAAATTAGTCGACCAATCGCAGTCGTACACATGGGGTTATGCCGCCACTGCCGCCAGCACCGCTCCCATTCCTGGTCACTTCTTGCCCTTCTTGCCGCCCTTCTTGCTCGGAGCGGGTTTGCTGGCCCCCGCACCGCTGCTGCCAGCGCCGCTCCCACTGCCTGCGGCCCCTCCCCCCGCCATCTCCATGAGCTTGGTCGCCGTGGTCTGCTGCCGGCCCTTGCCGCTGGCTCTCCCGGGGTGCTTGGGAATGAGCTCCGCCAGCTTCACCATCAACGTCCGCCCTGAGGAGGTCCACGTGCAGCACACAGCACAGCACACCGCAACAGCACAGCACAGCAGACCGCAACAGTACCCAGGCCGCAACAGTACCCAGGCCGCAGGCCGCAACAGTCAATGGTCACACCCGGCGTTCAGCCGTTCACGCTTTGTCATTGGGACCGTGAACCACGTTCTTGCGGTCATGCCCTGAGTCGTGAATCGTACCCCCGGTGGGTACACAGCCCAGCCCGCTGGCAAGCTGCTTGCATTTTTCCTAGGACTTCTACCGTGACCGAGGCTGCTGCGTGATGGCTCGGAAAACATTTTGGTGCCGTAGCAAATGACCCTTGCCAGGTACAGCTATGGCCCCTCCCCCCGGCTCTTACGAACGACTCCCGCACTTGTGCGGAACTTGCTATCAGAGCTAGGATTATCTCCCCCCTTTCCGCTGCTCATTTCACCGAGTCCCAGCTTACGGTCCGGTATCTCCGGATTGATCGGTTTTCCATCTTCCCCTTTCAGTTGCACGCGAATGCGGCCTTTGGGAAGCCAATCTCGCGGGTAATGCTTGGCCTGAAGGGTCGGACCAGAAGTGAGGGATGTGAGCACCTTATACGCCGTTAGAAACAAGCGTAAGCAAGCGGCCGAAGAGTGGCTCACCTCAATTTGTGATTCCAATTTTAATAGCTTGCAGCAGTCATACAGCTCGTTGGTGAAGGGGTCCTCGCACGCTGCGACGATCGAGCAATGTGTCGGCTGCAGGGTCGTAGCGATAAGCCACAGAACCGATCAGCTGCAGCGCCAAGATCCTCATCATGCATACCTAACGTTTTGGGTATCCGTCGACCTTCAGCGACCGTTTTTGTAGAATCCAGGTATTGGGGATAGACTATTACGCGCTGCAAAAGGAAAGAAGAAGTTTATCAGCCTTACATAATGTTAAACGTGTCTATTGCTTGCGTATTTTCTAGCTTACTCTGTCTGGGTTCATGTTTCAATAAAAAAATTCGTCGGAGATTCACAATTGGGTATGCTAAAGCTGCAGTGTCAGACAGCCAGCGTATACGAGCAGCAATGGTACAATCGCAGGGTGCACAAAAGCAACGCAGCGAAAAATGAGGAGCATTGGCTGGTTGCGTTGTACTGCGGTAACGGTATGTTGATTCGATTAGTAGTATCAATTTCTTCAGCTGCGGTTCGGCAATATTTCTTTCATTACCGAAAGCGTTTGTCGCCAGTGAAGGACTGATTTCGGGCATTTTTCTGTCATTTCGGGACCCGCACCCGGAGGAGCCTACACGGCTGCAGGTACTGCAATACGACCCGCCAGACGCGCAGCTCCTCCCGACCTCTGGTCCTCTAGACCTCTATTGACCTACAGCTCATATTTGTATCTTGTATTTGTAAGGGATCCTCAGGGATCAGCGCCAAGGGCCCCACAGCTCTTCACGGCGCAGCGGTCCGTTACATAACCCTTCTTCCTGATGCCACCCTCCTACCCGGAATTCATGTTCCCTTAAACCTCGCTTGTCAGTGGCTCAAACTCAGAAACCTCAGCAGCCAGCACAGCACAATACAGCAGCCTTTGGTCACCAATTGCCAACAAGACTAACCCATCCAAAAGTCGGGTTAAAAGCCCCAACAGGTCCATTCCCTAGCTAAACCATGCAAGGCGATAGTACAGAGCTGCCGGCAGGGTGCTGCTCCGTCGACTAATAGTACCGTTACGGGGCCGTGTTGGACATGACTGAACATGACGACGGACACGAGGGCCATACTGGGTAATCGTCAACATTCTGTGTGCATAATGCCGGCGAGCGGTTATGCCAGCAAGTGGGTAGCTGAGTGGGTACTTGGTTACCTATGGTACATGTTACGGCACGCGGGTTTGGCTCGGGTACCGGGGCATATTGGGTACCGGGGTGTATTGGGCACCGGGGTGTATTGGGCACCGGGGTGTATTGGGCACCGGGGAGTATTGGGCACCGGGGTGTATTGGGTACCGGGGTGTATTGGGTACCGGGGTGTATTGGGTACCGGGGTGTATTGGGTACCGGGGTGTATTGGGTGCCGGGGTGTATTGGGTACCGGGGTGTATTGGGTGCCGGGGTGTATTGGGTACCGGAGTGTATTGGGCACCGGGGTGTATTGGGCACCGGGGTGTATTGGGTACCGGGGTGTATTGGGTACCGGGGTGTATTGGGCACCGGGGTGTATTGGGCACCGGGGCATATTGGGTACCGGGGTGTATTGGGTACCGGGGTGTATTGGGCACCGGGGTGTATTGGGTACCGGGGTGTATTGGGTACCGGGGTGTATTGGGTACCGGGGTGTATTGGGCACCGGGGTGTATTGGGTACCGGGGTGTATTGGGTACCGGGGTGTATTGGGTACCGGGGTGTATTGGGTACCGGGGTGTATTGGGTACCGGGGTGTATTGGGTACCGGGGTGTATTGGGTACCGGGGTGTATTGGGTACCGGGGTGTATTGGGTACCGGGGTGTATTGGGCACCGGGGTGTATTGGGTGCCGGGGTGTATTGGGTACCGGGGTGTATTGGGCACCGGGGTGTATTGGGTACCGGGGTGTATTGGGCACCGGGGTGTATTGGGTACCGGGGTGTATTGGGTACCGGGGTGTATTGGGTGCCGGGGTGTATTGGGGCGCTCGCCCGATGTGCTTTTAAACCCGAACATGTGTGTGGCGGCCGTGAAGGTTTTGGTCTCGGAAGGTTTCTGGGGCTCGTCCGGTAATCCACACATTCTACATGTCCTCGAGCTCAGACACACATGGGCGAGAGTAGAGCCCGATGGAGTCCCCGACAGTGCCCTTGCTTGTTTAGGATCCGCTGCCTGTGGCCCGAGCTCTCTCTCTCTCTCTCTCTCATACGCATAATCCTGGATCTGTATAGCCGCTACAGCAGGGTGTGGAGCAGCTGCGCATCGACAGAAAGGCTTGCGACGGCGGATCTGATTGTCTGTCAGTTTGTCTGTATGTACATTCGTTTACATTTGCTTAACGAAAAGCGATTAGGGCTGGACTCACCATATCCGCGAAAATGCCCGTTTCGGTTGCAGCTGCAGCTGCATCATCCACGCACAGCACTCTATTACTACGGCAAGCCGGCAAGCCCCGTGGGCGTTGGTCTGGTGTGGGGGAGGGTGTTGGCACCCCTGTTTGAAGTGAACCGCTGTGTCCTAATCAGGCTTGATGCAGTGAGCCGCTCACATAGCCCCTTTAGGGCCCGGCCTCCTGGATCCAGGTGGTGTATCACGACTTCAGAAAAGTACAGATTGGCGGATGCAGATTGCCCGTGATGTGCCCAGAATACTACACCAGGACGGTGGCCTATCTGGGCGGCTACGAACAACCCCCCTCCCGGAGTGCCTATACCCCGGAGTGGAAGTTGGCTAACTGCCGGACAGAGGTCACACATTTACATAATGCGAGCTTGCGTTAAGTAAGTTGGGTTGGTTGGGTGTAAGGCCCAATGCGTAACTGTTAGACTAACTCTTTCGCAACGGCCCATGTCCTCAGGCCGTCATTTATTGCGCGCATTAAGCTGGTTAGCTTACCATGTTTTTGTTGTTCAGCGCGCCAAATGATCGGGCGACAGAGTCCACGAGCCTGCATAGCTAAAGAAACGTTTATTAAAGAAACTAGTTTAGCAAAGAGCTTCACGCGCGCGCACCTCCGACTTTGGCCTGGCCTTCTCGGAGCTGTACAGGACTTCTCGCTTCGTACCCGTCCAAAAGCACCGAAACGCATAGGATTGTTGTGGAATATAGCACGTGGAAGACATTGCGTGGTCGACTAGAAGGGCACGCATGATGCCCCGGTCCGCGCTTTATGGGCCTCCAGGAGCCCCAAAACGGTTTGTCTAGGGTCGATCCATTGCAGATAGATCATAGGCGCTGGGCTGGCGGTCATGGAAGTGCTCGGCCGACGGACTCAACGAGATGGGCGCGGCCTGCGCCACCCAGCAAATGGCCAGGGCTGCGCCCTGGCTGGACGCGGCCCTCGGATACAAGGCGCCGGAGGGCGCATACCAGCTGGATGGCTTTCAGACTGCCGGTCATGGGAACCCGGGAGGCGTGCTGTTGGTGCGGGGTAAGGTCCGTACAGGCAAACCAGGGCTGTCGGGTGACCGGAACCATCAGCGGAGATGGATGGGTGCACCACCAATTGATATATACAAAGGGACGAATCCTAATCGGGGCGCTCGGCGGTACTCCCCCTGGAGCAAGCAGGTTCAACTCCTGCCGTCCTGTTCCTGTCGTCATCCGCACAGCACCGGCTTTAGGAGGGCTTGCTGTTTGACGCCGACTGTAGTGCACAACCCCATCGGTTGTTATACGGGAGGCTGCCATCTGCAGATGCTCAATTGCCCACAACCCATGACTTGGCGCATCATCGCAGGGACCAGTCGGGTGGCTATGATGATGAGGTGGCTGCTGCGGTGGTGGCGGTGGCTGCTGGCTATCACGATGCACCAGTCACCGCTGCGGCAGCGGCAGCAGCGACGACCGGCCTGGCGGCGCAGCACAGCAGCGCGGGCCCCGGATGGGGCTTGTACGGGAGGGGATACGGCGGGGACCAGTCGGATGGCTGCTGCGGTGGCCATGGGGGTTTCACGACCAGTGACATGCATGGCCTGGGACAGCTACGTGATCGACTGCAGTGGAATACGGAGATGAATACAGAGTGGATGGTGGGGCCAGCAGCGTATTCACGGCCGCTGGTGTGTACGGCATGGGCCAGTATCACGGTGACCCGCTCATGACCGGCGGAGGCATGGACTGCAGCTACCAGCTACACGGCGGGGTGACGAGCGGGGCGCTCTGGTTAAGTGGGCGTGGAGACAAAACCCTGGAGGGGGTGCACCACACACAGCAGGTCCCGGGTTACAGCAGTGGCTCTCAGGATCGGGGCGTAGTGGTGACGGGATCAGCAATGAACCACCAACGTTTGTCGGGCTTGCAACACTGTCGCCAGTGTCGCTGTCGCCAGTGTCGGCAATGTCTCCGAGTGGGGGTTGTGGGCACGGACGGGGGCGTAGGTGACAGCGGTCCACAGCGGATTGGACAGGCGGGCTTTACTAAAATCTTAATTGGATCCATTGGGAGGGCGATGAACATGCCGATTGAAGCGGAGGCATGAGGACGACGGGCACTGCTGGCTGACACGGACACAACACCGGTGCCAGCGGGTACGAAGCGAGAAGTCCTGTCATCATTATCGGCCAGGTCGAAGTCGGAGGTGCCCGCGCGTGAAGCCGTTTGCTAAACTAGTTAAAGCAAGAACGTTTCTTTAGCTATGCAGGCTCGTGGGCTCTGTCGCCCGTTCATTTGGCATTATGTAAATGTGTGACCTCTGTCCGACAGTCACAGTTTCCATCTACCATACCATGCCCGCTTTGCGCAATATTTAAGCTATCAAGAAAAGCAATAATTAACTCAAGTGGTGCTCCTGACCTCGCCGTAGTTCGTAGTTAGCCAACTTCCACTCCGGGGTATAGGCACTCCGGGAGGGGGTGTGTGAAGCGGGCGGCAGTACCGGTAATGGTTGACTTTTGTGGCAACTTATCGAGCAGCCCTGCAACCTTCACAGAACACATCTATAATATGCGGTAATCTACAAGATTCATTCCATTCCAAGGGGAGTCCATGCCGGTTCTTCAAAGTTTGCGCTGGTTCGTCATAATTGTTACGCCCAGGATCTAATTTGACGTTTTAGGGATGTGATGCAGTTCAGGTCCCTGAGACTCTGGCAGGAAGTAAAGACGGTTTGGCCTGGCAGTATTCGCGTAGATACAGCAGCAGCGAATGCGCGCGGCGGTAACCGCTCGTTATTGTAGCAGCAGACCCCGCCACGAAGCGACCCAACAGAGGCGCCCGTCTGCATCTCGGCGTCTCCGCCCGGGTTCCGCAAAAAGTGTTGCCAGGCCAAACTGAAATGGCTTTGGAAACCTTAATATATTCCCTGACGAAAGTTACAGGTTGGCAAAAATCGGCTCGCTAAGAACATTTTAATTTAATGCACGGCGATTGCCAAATGGAAGGCAATCCGGCTGGAATATGTTGTCATCTGTCATGTTGTGCCTAGGGCCGCCGCTCACACATGGGATGTATGTGGAGACACCGGTGGGCACGGAAACGCCAGAGCACAATCGTGACATGAGCTATCCCTTGGTGCCATGTGTTTCTAACAGCAAGCGTGGCGTGTGGACGTTAGATGGTCGTGCAAGCGTGGCGTGTGGACGTTAGATGGTGGTGCAGCTGGCTTCGCGCAGGCATAGATAGCTGACTCCACCACGACTATGCACGTTTAGAAAGCTCCACGCGATATTAGTACAAGCAGAATTGACTGACAGCAAGCAATTGGGCATAAGGTGAAGCGCTAGGTGATCAAAATCTCAAAATCTGTGACCGCGATTTTCACCTTGTAAAGGAACAATCGTCGTGCCTTTAACAGAACCGCGTAGCTTTGCAAGAAAGCACCATCAAAGTAAGACTTGAAAAGGTGTCTATATTAAGAACTTGCAATTGTTCTGGCGCAGTATATTTTGCCGACATGCACGGGCAGGAAGGCAGGCAGGCAGACCCGCGCCAGCCCCACAAGGGGCGCAGCATCCCAGGAGGTGCTTCCGGGCGGGGCTTACACTGAGAAAAAAATTAAAGTAATGTTGTAATCCTCTTCATTTCATCCGTATATGTGTGGGTACGACTCGAACTGCTTCGAAACCAACTCGGCCGCCGTGGTCGACAAGCGCTGCAACAGGCCTGCAGTCAAATCGGGTTACTGTGAATTTTTCCTGGCTTCGGGAAGCTGATATTCTTCAGGCCGATATTGACTTGTCCAGCTGCACATCAACTGCTGGTACACCTGCCTGCCTGGCAGAGCGCTGCAGGGTTGTACCAGGCGTAGTGCTACATGCCAAGGTATCACGGAAATGAAAAGATCGGTTGCGTTTTTGCTCTTGCCTGCTATTATAAAAGACATGCAAAGGTAAGAGGAGGATAGGTTATCGCTTGTTATCAAGCGCGATGTGCAAAGTATGGGTCATTACCTCCCAAAGTACGATGACCTGTAGCAGTTCAACCCTTTTCTTTCAGACTGCTCTAGAAACATTGTTGTTATCCTGTGCTACAGAGTCAAACTTACGTTGCCAAAACGCCAAGGCCGTGATTTCTCCGGAACACACGTCCGTATCCACGGCCCATCAGGAGAAAAGAAAGTTATGACAACGAAACACAAGCGCAATGCTCCACAGCAAGTTAACGCAGCCCCGAAAATTGTGTTGCAACTGTACAGGGAAACTCAAATCGCGATTATAGTAATCCTCTGGGCTCCCAACCGCCGCATTTGCAAAGCGCCAATTACCATTGTCCTGCCAACAACCTGCTAAGCAATACCCCGTATACCCCAAGCCCAACTACCAACGGTCGTCGGACATGCTCCACCAAAAATAGGCCTCCATTTCCAGGCGACCCAGCAGCAACAGCAGCAACAGCAACAGCAGCAACAGCAGCAGCAGCAGCAGCAGCAGCAACAGCAACAGCAACAGCAGCAGCAGCAGCAGCAGCTCGCGGTCGGTCCCGTGTAACAAGAAGCATGCACATACACACAACCCATGCCCTTGTTACAAACAACTCAACCCGGAGCGTAGTGATGTCACGACCAAGTAAATAACCCTCCACGTGCACGCGCCGCGGTACATGCGCTCACCAAGCCCATGCATTTGTGCACCCGGGATCCTTTCTTCCGGTGTTACCGTGCGATTTCGCTAGATAGAACATTGGACTCAGCTCCTGAGGGCACGCGTGACCGTGTTGCGCAAGTAGTCCCGGAGACTGCTCCTGATGAGCGGATTGGTTTGGAAGAGGGAGCGGGAGAGGGTCCAATCAGCGGCGCTCCCCCAACGACCCCTTTGCTGCTAGTGCTCCTTATCAGAGCGTGCAGTCGGGCGAGCGGACAGTGCAGCGGATTGGCGGCATGGCAGATGTTTTGATCAGGCTACTGACCCGGGCGCCGATTTCTACTTGTACGAACGAACAGTTTAGGCACCCGTTAGCTTGTTTCTTCACAGCAGAGCTTTTCAAATTTGATCGTCTTTATGTTATGACGGACGGTATCTGCTGAAGTCAAGGGAAGAATGCGTGTTCTCTCTTAGCGGAGTAGAGAGGCAAAACAGGCAATGTTCCATTTGAGATGTTGTGCATAATATTAGGAACATATTTTTGCGACATAATACAATGGGAGGTGGTTATGTAACTGGCGGGCTAGGAGGCGCGCAGGCGCTCGCCCGGTCGGCCGAAGCGTCGGCAGCTTTCGGAAATAGATACGCCTACATCATCACACCACACGCCTCATTTAAGGCCAATGAATTCGCGAGAATAAACTGAGACACATATCTAATGGGCGACAAGTCTTGGCGGTGTCGGGAAGCTTGCGATCGCTCGTACACATGTACGTCCACAGTTACTCCAACATCCCAGCAAGTATAAAAAGCGTCGTCTTAATACCTGGTTATTGCTTAATTTTGGTCAGGATTAAGGATTCTTAACCAACATTCCAGGATTCCAGGTTGCCCTTGTCTTTGAGCTGCAGCATCGCCTTTCGGTTACATTACCCGATATCTATACTCCCTTGCGGAGGATGGAGCCGCGTTATTTAGTTGCAAGTGTGTTACTTCTGGTGCTGTTTCTGGGGCCTGACTTCGGTACGTTGCAAGCGCGATACATGCTGCCTTTTAATAGAAATAATCCCAGCCAGCTGCCTCTGTTATAGTTGTTAGAAGGAGCCGCCCTGGTCCCGTGGCGCTCGCACACCAACGCCATTGACTTGCGCAGCTTGCTATTGTCCCTTAGGGAGTTTATTTATCTTCATGTACTTAAACTGCTGCATATGAAGTCACGCAAACACGGCATCCTGCTGCCGTGGCAAATTAGCACCCTAATGCTTTCGCGTACGAGGAACAGGCCCTAACATGCCGGCTTCTTGTCCGTTGAATTGCAGGAGAGGCACAGACACTGAGAAGCTATCGTAAGTAATACCAACCTAATTACGGCGCGGATTTCCACACCACGCAAGGCGTCTCCGCTTCGCTTTTCCTTCATCTGGCAAAGGCTCTAGTAGCATATTGCGTCAGAATCGAAAATCAATTTGCATGCTTGTTAAATTTATACTTCATATAAATGTACAGGCAACAGGAATGGTGTCCGCCTCTCCGGCGACAGCGGTTCCAGAGGCCGCCTTGAGGTGTCGTCTGTGGACGCGTGGTTCACAGCTACTCCAGGGAAGCCGTCTTGGAGTCCTGTTTGTGATAGCCCCTCCTTTAGCGACAACGACGCACTGGTGAGTGAGTAGTAAAACGGTCAGCGGTGGCTGAGGGGGAGACAACGGGAAGTGGCGTCTGCACCACAGTATAGCATGGCGGGCGCCTGGTGGCGACAGTTGGTGATTGTCGGTTATTTACAATACCTGGCAGTTGGTTGTATATTTACTAATAATAACTTGGCTGGCAGTTCCGACCATCCCGGGGAGACGATAACAAACTGTGCTGATAATTACCGGCTAGTGGTTGGCCACTGTACGGGTTTGTTAGTGAGTAGTTAGCAGCTGCCGTACAGGATTGTTGGCACGTTGGGCGGTAGCCGGGCAAGCGAGTTGGAGAGTTAGCTTGTGGGTGTCTATGTGCTGCCGGCTGTGTGTTTGTGTCCTGTACGACATACACGGATGGGAAGTGTCGTACTCCTCATGTTTCATCTGTCCGGGGCTCTGCGGGGTGTTGAAGGGGGTTGAGGTGAGGGGGCGGGACCACCTGAGGGGTCAACCACCTGAAACGCCCACGACAGTTCCGGCGGCCAGTTGGACGCCTTCCCGCCATTCTTAGATCGGAAAAAGGCCCCCCCATTATTCCCGACCGCCTGCCCCAACTCTCCATATAGCGGGGGGAAAGAGGAAACACCCCACAGGGCTCAATTCACACAGGGGTAATCGTAGCCCCCCATATGACTCCCGTTTCTTTACACTCCACGTCGATTATTTTACCCACCGTCGTGGTTACTTTTGTTATTATTTGTATTATTACTTCGATATTATAATTGTAATAATAGTAATTAATATTATTCGCAATTTCCTTCGATGTCACTTATGATCCCATCTGATGATACCGTACATGTCGGTGTTGGTGGTGTTGGTGCCGTACGCCGCCCCCTCCTCCGGATGTGTACGTAGGTTATGTGCCGGATGCTCAACTACACGTACGGCAGGAAGTATTACAGCCCCTTGATTGCGTACCGTAAGAACGAAACGTGAGTGAAGCGCTCCCGGGGTTTGGGATCGGAAGTGAGAGAAGGGTTCTCGGAGGTCCTAGGGCGGAGAGCAGGGTTTGGGGTTGGAGGTGGGGTGGGGGGTGGGGGGTGGGGGAGATCCATCCTGTGGGTGTTGCTATGCGGCCGGAATGGCGAAGGTGATTGGGAATTTGGGTTTTACATCAATGTGGTCAGCCTGGCTGTCCTTGCTTTGGCAGTAGTTTGGCAGTAGTCTCCTCCGTAGTTCAAACTTCAAGGAGGGTCTTAAAACCCTAAGGTAATAATGCAGGTATTAATGCCCCTAAAGCCCACGTGTTTCCCCTCCCTCGCGCCTTTTCCGTAAGTCCTTCATAGCGAGTCTTCATAGCGAGGCAATTTCTCCCCTCTTTCACCGCCTAGCCCCTCCCCCCCCCCCGCGTTACTGCTGCCATCCCTCCAAGCCGCACCATCAATACGCTCGCTCTCTTGCACAACCGACGAACAACCACCTTGTCGTTGTTATTGTTATTATTGTTTGGGATACAACGATCCGAAATCCGAATTCCTCGTCCGGTGCTCCAGGGGGGTCCGCTACGTGGGCGCCATCATTTGCGACCCGCGGACCTTCAACCCGCCGCCGCCAGCCAGGAGCCCCCCGCCGCTGCGGCAACCACCCCCGCCGCCATCGTCGCCATCGCCTCCGCCGCCATCGCCTCCGCCGCCATCGCCTCCGCCGCCATCGCCTCCGCCGCCATCGACGCCGTCAGCGCCATTGCCGCCAACTTATTCGGGCTCCGGCGGCCGCAGGAGCTTGCGCCAATCCGCTGCGCTGCAGCAAGCACGAGATCGGGAGTTGTTCAGCCCCTTATTCGGCACCCTAGCGGCGCCCGTACGGACCGCGCCGTACAGTTGCTATCTCAAGGCGGGACCGTGTGACTCCAGGGGGCCCTTCGTGGGAATCGAATGCTCTCGTAAGTATGAGCTAGTAAGCCGTGTCGTACGTACATGTCGTACGCATGTGTGTCGTACGGTATGGTGGAGGGTTGCGGAGATAGGATTGGGATTGGAATTGCTCTTAGTCAGTTGGTCAGAAGAAGGGGGGGAGATGCTGAGGCTTGTATAGCTTGTGATGTAACGTCATTACGCCGGTGAGGAGACAGATATACAAACAGATAAACGAACGGCCAACCAAGAGGCCAACAATACGATATTCGCTCTTGACTAGGTGCAAATGGATGTCTTCCGGGTGGACAAATCACCAATGTCCCGAACTGCTTAACATTTGAAACGGTTCTCTCCCCTTCTTCGCCTCTTCCTTCCCCCTTTTTTCCTTTTCCTCCCTCCGTCCCCCCCTCTTTTCCCCCACCGAAACCCAACGAAACCCCCCCCCCCCGGATGCGGATGCTGCCCCGCACTCTACAGACACTCTCTTTGAAACTACGAACCCACCACCTCCGAGTCCGCCGTCACCTCCCCCAGGTACCTAATGTACTTTTGTTCTGTTCGTTGACGTCCTTTTGGTCAGTGGAAAGACAGTTGGATGTTGCAAAACAGTTGGCAGTTAGCTGTCGGTGGGCTGTAGCGGTTGGTTACCAGTGCGGCGGTTGTGACAGCGGTGGCAGCTGCGTCATTTGACTTCACCTGGGCGAACATCCCCGGCTGTCTGTTGGTTGGTTGGTTGGTTGCGCAGTGGGCAAAGTACGCGGTGATTGTCCGTAGTACATAGTACGGCAAAAGAAGTATGGGGCATATAGGGCAGATCTATTTTTGTTCCTCCTCCTCCACCACAACACACAGCTGGGCCGCTACTACTCTCCGTTCTCTCTCTCCCCCATCCCCCCCCCCGGGGGTTTCGCCACCGATCCCCCCTCTTGCCACTTTTGAATCCGGGATCCGGGAACTGTCATCGGTGCCTTGAACGGCCACCACCCACCTGCGTGTGTGTATTTGTGCAGCTCCACAACCACTTCTCCCCCGTACAGATACATACATACATATATACATGCCTGTAGCGATCAGGCCCTCCCGGTTGATTCGTTCGGGAATCGCAACACCCCTCTCAACGCCCGGTCGTACAAACCCCTTCCCTCCCCTCTCCCCCGCAGCTCCCCCCGCCGTCTCCAACAGCATTCGCTTCTACGGTCCCTACATGAACCAGTACACCCGGGCGGTCGGGGAGGTGGAGCCCAACCTTGCCGATTATGGTAACGGTCTGGGAAGCTTTTACGGCCGGTTTGAAGTTCAGGTGGGTTGGGGGAGCGGGGAGGGGAGGGGGCGGGGGAGAGGGGAGGGGGCGGAGGAGAGGGGAGGGAAGGGAGGGGGCGGGGGAGAGGGGAGGGAAGGGAGGGGGCGGGGGAGAGGGGCGGGGAAGGGGAAGGGAGGGGCGGGGGAGAGGGGCGGGGAAGGGGAAGGGAGGGGACGGGGGAGGGGGGAAGGGAGGGGAGGGGAAGGGAGGGGGCGGGGGAGGGGGAGTATTTGCGGGGTGGGGCCCTGTGGGGCTTTTGGGGGTGGGGACGGGGGAGGAACGATGGGGCGTGGTAGGGTTTACGGGTTGTACGGCTTTAGGGGTTTGTGGGTTTAGAGCCACGTTGGGTGTGGGTCTGGGTGACTAACCCATTCCTTCCGTACCCCGCTGACTTCGTGTACGGCAGGTCATTGTAAACGGCAGTTCAGTGTGGGCTCCCTTGTGCGGCCTGCCAGACGGCGTGCCAGAATACGACCTGTTTCAGTTGGGCAATATCGCCTGTTCACAGGTACGTCCTTGAGCGACGTTTCCCATTTTTTTCGCTCCGCCCGTTTTGCCCCTTTTGTGTAGCTGTTTGTCTGTATGTATATTCATACATGGGGGTGCATGTGCGTTCCAGGGTCAACCCTCGTATTCCTCATGTGCGAAAGACGTTTTCCCGGTTGTCAGTTTGTTCTTTTTTTCCGTTTGACCGTTGTTTAGTTGACGGATTAGCTTCCTTAGGGTGTTCGCTAGGTGTCCTTAAATAACGAATAACGAGTTTTACTAACCGTCCTTGATTTCCCCCCCCCCCCCGGGGGAGGAACTGTCACTGGCTGCTTACATGACCCGGTCGCATCTTGAACACACACGGGGAACACGGGGAGCGAGAACTTTAAATTTCGCGTAGAGCTGTTTTCCGTGGGACCACCACCACCTCTTCTATAACTGTCTTCCTTCTTGCAGCTCTTGGAATTGCTTACCACCTTGTCTGCATTGATCTGTTTTGGGGAGGACATGTACGGCCTGTGACCTTTGTGTACGAATAACCCCCTTCAAATCCGCAGTTGCTGGATTGGCCAAAGCCTTTCGACGGCGGCGTTGCGATTGTGTTTCCCCAGGTTTCCTTTGTCCCCTTCAACATCCCGGATGGTGAGCACCCCCTCTTGCTGCCGCTGCTGCTGCTGTGATGTGATGTGATGTGGGGGGGAGGCAATTTGGTTGATTTTAGGGCTTTCATGGGTGGGGGCATGTGTGTGTAATCATGCCCCATGAGTTTCAAACTTCAAACCCAGAAGACATCCGCAGGGGGGGATGCAGGGGCGTCCGTGTGGGCGCTCTTTTCTATGGGGACGTGTATATGTATGTATGTATGACGTTGATTACACTGTGGGCTGAAAAGTCGGGGGCCCGGGGTCGAAACACAGCGCAGGGGGCGGGTGCACACGGCCGGTTAGTCTCGTGCACTCCGCCCCCGGGTCAGGCCGCACGGGAAACGACGGCCGGCACACATCAGCGCTTCCCTCCGGGGGTTGGCGCTCCAGCTAGATGGGAACTATGCTCGCCGGTTTCCTAACAGAAACGAAGTCGCAACTGGGGGGCTCTTCCTGCCGACCGAATGTACCAAACATCTCGAGAGAGCTCGTGTTCAGGACCTGGCAGCCCGACAAGTCACCCCGGGCTGGGGAGGTCACCAAGCTCAAAAAAGCCTCAAACCGAAAGAGAGCGCAAAGAGCTCACACCACACCACACCACGCCAAACAGCCTCTCGAGACCACTTCCCAACCCCGCCTCTCCCTTCCTGGGCTCGTCCAGGGGGGGTAGCAACCGCAAGGAAGGGGTATCACCGCACAAGCCCACCCCCCTCCACGGCACTGTGTTCAACTCGAAAAATGCGCGAACGGGAAAACCCTGCTTCCCCCGTTAAACTGCTTCCGAAATTCCAACGACAAGATAACCCCTAAACTGAATCCACTCTCCCTTCCGCTCTCCCCTCCCGTTCCTTTCCGTTCCTTCCGTCCCCTTCCCCACCCAGCCGCTGTCAACCCCGGTGATTTCGACCCCGACAAGGTCGCCGCTTGGGTGGCCGCGGTGTCGCCCGTCGGCTCTGCGCTTTCTATTCAAGATCTGGATATCAAGGTACGTACGTACGGCAGATGGACGACTACTGGGGGGGGCACGGCCTGCTTTAGCATCAATGTCAGCGAGGATGAGCGGGGCCGTACACCGTACACCGTACCCCCCCCGTAGCCCCGGGGCATGCCCACACCGCTGTACGGAACACGCACGCCTGTCCCACACGCGCCCCCACTCCCCCCCTGCTGCTCAGATTACGTTGGAGCCGTGTGAAAGTGGAACTCTGTTCGCGGTGGCGTGCATGGCGTACGGAGAGCGGCGTAGGAGTTGATCTGGAGGCGCCCGGTGCCCTGCAGCCCCTGGTGGCGCCGCCTGGTGTGTGTGCCCCGGAGGTGTCGTTCGGTGCCACCCCCGTGCGGCTGCTTGGAACGCATCCCCGAGTGCTTCTCAAGTGCTTGAGTGATCAGCTCCAAAGACAAAATATGATATCCTCTTCAGCTATTGGTTATATTAGTCGGCTGCTGGCTATTGCGCAGCCTGTTGGCTGGTTAATAGCAAGCGGGATGTTGTCGGGTCTCTATCTACCGACCACCACCTTCTACATTATATTTTGCTATTAAGGACTGCGATTAGCGGCCCTGCCCGGCCCTTGAGCCGATAATGCAATTCCTGCAGAGCATTGGTGTGCGTCGTTTTCTCATAAAGTTATGTATGTACGGATGCACGTACGGATGGATTTTACGGTCCATCTGTCGTCATGTCTGTATACTGGCAACAGCCGCCAGCGGCATGAGTTACTTCGCTGGCTTTCATCGCCCCGACACCCGGGGGCCCGGGGGCCCTGCGTAACTCTGCTGCAGAACTATCCAGTTGTTGCTATGTGTACGGGACCGCCCCTCGACCGTACGTACGTACGTACGAGCACTCCCGGGGCAGTAGATGGAGGTGGGGGAGGGAATGGGGGAGGGAATGAGGGAGAGTCGCAGTCCGGGCGGGCGGGTGGGCGGGTGAGAGGGCCGCGGAGGGGAGTGTCCCTCGGTCGCCCTGTAGACGCGCCTCTCCTTGCTTCCGGAATACATAGTTTTAATTCTGTCCTTTAAATCTTTACGCGCGCGCTATAACCTAAAATATAAAATGATAATAGTCCTGCATGGGTTGCTGGAAGGCGTGTGGTTCAAGGTCGGTTTACCAAATTACGGTGCTCGAGATCATTTCAGGAAGTGTTACGTCGGTTTATTGATGGTGAATACGCGTGTGATGTGAGTAAAAAAATATTCTAGGTTGAAACTTACGCCGCGCGATTGCCCATTCAGTCGTAATTCGGGGGATAAAAAGTGATGGGCGGCACTGCTTTGTACGGATTTTAGCACACAGCAGCACTGACTGACGGCGCGGGTGCACACACTCCTTCTCAAGGATTAAGCTTGGAAGAACTAGTGCTGCTAATCCTGTATCGGTATCGGTCTGCGTATGTATGTATGTATGTATGTATGTGTGTGAGATGGTGTGCTAGCTATGTACGGTTGCAGCTGCAGTTGGGTGTTTCGTGGCAATGTCTGCTTGGACGAACAGTTCGGTGGTGTTGTTGTTGGTATCTGTGAGGATAGGCTGCAGGAGTACATGCAGAGTGATGCGACCGCAATGGGTGTATGTATGTACGGCAGGTGCACAACACATTCGCAGTCGGTGTGATTTGTTAATGTCGGCAGGCGTTATTTGCAACAGGACACAACACAACACAATACAACACAAGACGCAGGGGGCTGTGGTTGATATTAATGTGATGATGATATTGCATTGTAGAACGCAGGTAGCACCCGCCTCACCGTCACCCAGGCGGGCGGAGCAGCCCCCTGGCCGGCTGCCTTCATTTTAGCTGGCGACGTTTTAGTGTCACGTTCATTTTACCGTCTTTCCGTCTCGTCTTAATGTGTGTGTGTGTGTGTGTGCGTGTGTGTGTGTGTGTGTTACATGGTCGTGGAGGTATACCTGCAAACCCCCCAATACGAGCCGAGGGCTCAAGCAAGGGCTCTGCCAGATCTCGTCGATATGCACCAGGCTACTTCGCACTTGAGATAAAGCAAGTGATAAAGTAAACTAACGAAATAAAGGGAACGATGGAGTTGCGGTGGGACCACATACGTTCCAGCATCTTCGCCAGGTGTTCAGATTCCCGCTTCATGTCAGATCTAATTTGCCAAACTTCGCCATCTGGTGGCGAAGTTCGCCGTACACCGGACAATCCACCAAGACGTGCTTCTCATCTTCAATAATGGCTATCAGTGCCGCAGCGGGGGTATATACCCGCTCCTCCCTAGGTACGTAACACCGCCCTCTGTGCGCTCTGTATGTAATACCGTATCTATATATGTATAATACCCCGGCAGGCCACCTGCTGCTGCAGCATCCCCCCCAAAGGCAAACTGGGTCGAGCCGTAAGGCTTGTGGAATACACATTGCTCCTGGTTCCTTGTTTTGGCTTTTCAGATAGGTCTGATGAGTCCAACTTGGACTGTATAACATACACTATAGGGTTTTTGATAGCAGGCCTATTATATGCCACGGCGGAAGTATGCACAAATTTGAAGTAATGCGCCTTATTAGGTACCAGATGGTAACCGAGAGTTTGTTTGAGGGCGGGCAGGTTGACCATTCAATACTTATAAATCACTGGTTCAGGGAGGGAGGGCAGTGGCAATACGGATATGGGCTGCAGGTGGGCGCCAGCGAGAGCAATAATATACTGGACGACCCCGCACTTGTGCGGAACTTGTAACTTGTAACTAACTAAGACCGGCTTTATCCCAAACCAGGAAGTCTGACTTCAAACAAGTCGAATTTTTTGTGGATTAGCAGCAGCAACAGCAGCAGCATGGATGGGGAACGACGGCATATTATTATCGCTATTGGACGTTTGTATGGCCAGCCATGCATCGCAGCTGATGGCTGATGCGCGTTTCAGGTCACACATCAGCTCCAGATGGGCGACCAGTAGCGGCGTTAAAACTCATCCTAAGCAGCAGTGTACCTGACATTCAACGAGCAAGGTGCGTATAAAAGCGGGGGAGGAATATTTGAGGACATTGTATTGATCCGCTGCTGCTGCCGATGCATATGCGTGCGTGTTTTGCAATCGCCCTCCCACCTCCCACCTCCCACCTTCCACCTCCCGAGAGGCGGTCTTGCCGATCAATACCCGCCCCGCTATATATATGACCCCGCCCAACCGCAGCCCTAAGCATCCATTCCCCTCGTGCAAGAAAGTCGCAACCACGCATGCATGTGTCCCCCTCCCCACCACCAGCCGCCGTACTCGTAGTCTGGGATGCACGAATGTACGACGATCAACATTAAAAGCAGTGCAATGATAACCAATATCCTGACCACCTCACTGGGATGCGAGACTCCAAAAGAAAGAAGAGGGGGGAAGGTGGTAAGATGGCGAAACCGCCCCATGTAGCTCTTCTGTCAGTTTTTATGCATGTCTGTCAGTCTGTATGTCGCTTGTACATAAAAGAGAGGATGATGTACTGTTCCTCAATCCGAAAGGTCCGACATTCCACTCCTTGTTTGCCGTCAGCTGCGTCAATTACTTCCCTTTTCTAAATCATGAAACCGATTCAACACTTCTTTGTACTTAACCGGATTAACGGACCCCGAAACAACCCCTTGGGGTCCCAAATAACCGATAGGCCACTACACAACGAGAAGATACACTGTTGAATACTGTCCGGGGTTGTACTCCACTGTACTGCTCTGTACGACTGGCCCTCCGGGGACACCGGCAGGCGCTGCCGTAGCGGCCGCGACCGGCGTCACGTTCATCAGCCCCCGTCCGAAGTGTTCGGCCACCACCGCGAAGCCGTCAGCCGATTGTCGCAACTCCGCGAAGAAGCGCTCGGGCTGCAGGGAGGCCCCCTTTGGGGGGGCGCGGGGGGGGTGGGGTGGCAGAGGGGCAACCAGGGGGGCAGCGAGGGGCCCGCGGGGCCAAAGCGGGGGAAGGGGAGGGACGGAGTGAGCCCGGGGGCTGGCACGGTGGGGGGCACGGTGTTGTGGCGGCGGAGCTGTGGAGGCGTCGAAGGCGGGGGAAGAAGGGTCGGAAACCGCCAATCTAGCTGAAGTAGAAAGCGATAAGTGATCATGGGGGCAAACAGAGGAGGGCAGGGCTGTGGGGCTGTCGGCAATGCTGTCGGCTATGCTATTCGGAACCTCTCATGAGCCTAAATGCACTATTAGGAGATCCCGAGAGATCCCGGGACAGGGAATCTGCCCGCAGAGAAACCGAAAAGGGGAGGGAATGAAAAGATTGCGAGATTTCGGCGGATGTGTGTATGTGTGTGTGTGGATCTCAGAAATCTACTTCTTGGAGTTCAGGAGGGAAGGATCCCAACAGAGCGGGAGGGGCAGCGGACAACTGCAGGTTCGAAACAAGACACGATAATTCCCCCGGGGGACAACACCAAGGTGGGTTATTCCGGGAGGGCGACCGTCGTACTGTCGTACCTGCATGCTGTTCCGTATCTCAATTACCCTCCGCTGGTCCGGCCCACACAGGGGACACTCCCGGTCGTTATCCCCCAACTGACGGAGGTTGTACGAATGGCCACACAAGAAGTGTACGACAGGCAACTCCAGGGGTCCTCCCGAGGCGGAGCAGCGGGAGTTCTGAAATAGCCGGGGCTGCGTGTGGTTGTGTGTGTTTTGTGGTGACGAGGGGAGAGGGCAAGGACAGAGAGCCGGGGAGAAAGTGTTACGGAGGAGGGGGG